CCGCCTCCGACGAACAGCCCTCGACGCCGACGACCTCGCCCTGCCACCCGCTGCCTTCCCCTGCCATTGCCGCAGCTTCGCCGTCGCCAGCGAACGCCGACCGTTGCCGTGCCCAGCTCCGCCTCCACGAGCTCCGACGTCGACCTCCACTCCAGCCGCTCGCCGCTGCTCCCCTGAGTTCGCCGCCGCCCTGAGCTCTTCGCCGCCGTCGTCGAGCTCAACCCAGCCTCCTCAGTCGCCGCCAATAACCCCCAGGAGCCCGCCGCCGGCAAGCTCGAATCAGTGAGCTCACTGCAGAAAACTGCAGTTCGGAGCCAACTTCGCGCGCGTTTTCCGGCCAACTCCGACCTCCGTTTCCGTCGATTCCTTCGCCGGTGCGTAGCCCTTCGTGTAGAATGACATATTTTTAAAAAGAAATTATGTTTGGGAAAATAGACTATTTTGAATTAATAAGAATTTATCTTATAAAAAGATTATTTTTGAATTTATGAATTTATTATTTTTAAAAGATTATTTTTAGAATTAATATAGTGAGAAAATAACTTATTTTGAAAAAGGGATTATTTTTAAGTAAATAACTTTATTATTTCAAAAGATTATTTTAGAACAATTTTATGATTCAAATTCTTAGTCTTGATTATCTGATATGCTATGATACTATTGTACATGATTAGTTGCATTGATTGTTCCTTGTTGTGATTGAGAACCGTTAGGAGTTTATGACTATAGTGACCTGTGTGACATGAATAAGACCTAAAGACATGTGTTGTGTTGACTTAGAAAAACGAGAAGAGTTGGGATGGGGAAGTTAATGTTCATGTGATCGGATATAGCTGTTGATGTATCTTCCAGGCTCGCGCCAGTGAATTCGTGTAGTCACTGGGGTTGGTTTGATGGGCTAAAGTGAATTCGTGTAGTCACTTTAGTCAGTGAATTTGTGTAGTCACCCGAGTTCTGCTTGAGTTCGGACCAGGCCGAAATCGGATTGCGTGTAGTCCTGACCGATTCGTGTAGCGGTATTGGATGCACGTAGGGGATTTGTGAACAGCCAGTTATCCGATGACAGGAGCGTTGACTCTGTGTGAGATGTGGACCGCTGAGTTTTAGGTTGGTTAGTATTCGACCCAGCCACTGTATTCACATAGTTGTATGTTACCATTAGATTTCAGTTGCATGTATCATTATCTTTTTGTTATTATTATTATTATTATCGTAGCATGGAACATTAGACCGTTTTATTTGTTCATGTGAGATCTTGCCGTGTGCCATGCACGCGCTGACGTACAGTGTATGCTCAGCCGGAATGTCCTTCTGATGGAGTGGAAGAACAAACTGAAGCCTAGACGCATTTTCTTTTCTGTAGTAGCTAATAGAGCACTCTTGCAGTATTTTCTTTAGTTTGGTGACAGATTTGGTTATTTTGTTAGTATTTCCTTTTATGGACTATGTATTTCTTATTTCCTAGTTGAACTGTTGTTGTAGTAAGGGTATGATGAACCCATATTTATGTCTGGGATGATTCACTATGGATGATATGTTTATTTCTTATTCTGGATTGTCTTTCTATTCTTGCTATTGTGATCGGGGACCTGTGATTGAGATTTATGTATTTGACGCTTAGCGTATTGGATTGAGAAGAAAAGGAAAAAAATGATGATATTATTTCTTCTCAATCGAATACGTCGCGGACTTGTTCACGTTCTGATTTCCCAGTATTTTGGGAAGCGGGGCGTGACATAAGGTTACGGGTCAATTGTTAGGGTTTAATTGTTAAGGTTACGGTTCAATTGTTAAGGTTACATGTTTAATTGTTAAGGTTACGGGTTTAATTGTTAAGGTTACGAGTTAATTGTTAAGATTACGGGTTTAATTGTTAAGGTTACAGGTTAATTGTTAAGGTTACTGGTTTAATTGTTAAGGTTACGGGTTTAATTGTTAAGGTTACGGGTCAATTGTTAAGGTTACGAGTCAATTGTTAATGTTACGGGTTTAATTATTAAGGTTACATGTTTAATTGTTAAGGTTATGAGTCAGTTGTTAAGGTTATGAGTCAGTTGTTAAGGTTACGGGTTTAATTGTTAAGGTTCGAGAGAGAGAAAAAGAATTCATAAACTTAACAATTGACCCGTAACCTTAACAATTAAACCCGTAACCGTAACAATTGACCCGTAACCTTAACAATTAAACCCGTAACCTTAACAATTAAACTCGTAAACTTAACAATTAAACCGTAACCTTAACAATTGACTCGTAACCTTAACAATTAAACCCGTAACCTTAACAATTGACCCGTAACCTTAACAATTAAACCCGTAACCTTAACAATTAAACTCGTAACCTTAACAATTGACCTGTAACCTTAACAATTTACCCTAACCTTAACAATTAAACCCGTAACCTTAACAATTGACCCGTAACCTTAATAATTGACCCGTAACATTAACAATTAAACCCGTAACCTTAACAATTGACTCGTAACCTTAACAATTGACCCGTAACCTTAACAATTAAACCTGTAACCTTAACAATTAAACCCATAGCCTTAACAATTGACCCGTAACCTTAACAATTAAACACGTAACCTTAACAATTAAACCCATAACCTTAACAATTGACCCGTAACCTTAACAATTAAACTCATAACTTTAACACTTGACCCATAACCTTAACAATTAACCCGTAACCTTAACAATCTCCCAATACAAATAAAAATAATTAATTTCCTCATCAACAATAAAAATAATAAAAAACAAAAAAAATAAAATAATAACCCCCTTCAATCATTTCAAGATCATCATAGTAACATCATGATATATATATATATAGAGAGAGAAGGGATCCATAACATTAACAATTGACCCGTAACCTTAACAATTAAATCGTAACCTTAACAATTAACCCCTAACTTTAATAATCTCCCAATACAAATAGTTAGTTCCCCCTCATCAACAATAAAAATAATAAAATAATCCACGTCAGTCATTTTAACTATCATCTCAGTACATCATGATAGAGAGAGAGAGAGAGAGAGAGAATGATATTATGATCTTCACATATTTTAATCTCTTGTGTTTTGTGTTTTGGGGGCTCAGAGAACAAACTCTTTATTTTTGGGGGCAAAACACCCGTTGACAAAGTCTTGGGGGTGGGAAGCACGTTTTCTTGGCTTTTGAGGGCTGGAAGCATTTTTCCCTAAAGATTAACTTTTGATGCTCTTGTAGTTGATAATTTTTCTATCAAATCATCTATTCTACTTATTTTTCCTTCTCTTGATTATGGTTGGTTTGGAACTTATGATGTGGTGTATAAAGTTTGTTGTTTATTAGTTCTTTTGCAAATGGAACTTAAAAATTTCTAAAGTGTTTGGTTTGAGATATCACTGTCATTTACTACCTTGAGTACTTGCGTCTATGTCCCGTTGAGATCTGATACAAAAGTTATATGTTCACAGTTTGGTCAATAATTGCATTGTGCATTGATGATTCAATAATTATCCTAGCTATGTACTGGCGTGGCAATCTCACACTTTATTGATCAGTTCTTTATTGATCAGTTAAAATAAATTATGAGATATGCAGCCAACATTGAGACTATAATGATGTAAAATGAGAAATATCTGAACACACTTATCACATATTTTCATTCAATTTGCCACATATTTAAATGGGTTTCTACATGTGATTTCATATTCTTCAACGTATAGGATTTCTGCGTTATATTTTTAAAGCACAAATTAAGATATTTTCAAAAACAAGAAAAATGCAAAAAATCACAAACATAAGAATACATATTTTATAATATTCTATTTGACGATTCGTGAGCTTTAATTGTCTCTTCAAATCTTTTGCTTTCATATCTTTTTTTATCTTGAACAAAGACTCGCTCCTTTTTTATCTTGCGTTTCTTGATATCAATCTCATTGTCAGGCCACGTAAAAAATTTGTATTGTATGTTTGGGTATTTGGTGCGGCCCCAAAAATATCTCTCCTTGTTCACACCATTCTTATACATTTTCATCGGTGTTGGTATATTGCAAAAGCAATGAACCTCCATTGTTTGAGACCCTTAGAAAGAAGTCATATATGTAACATTACCTGTTTCACATATTGGTAATAAAAGCAACAATGGATTGGAGATAGCTTCATATGCTACAAGCTTTTATAGGCAAACTTCATTGCTTTTTTTTTTCACCGTTACCTTGAGCTTTTTGACCGTTGGAATGCAAAGGCAGGCTTCATTGCTTTTTTAACTGTTGCCTTGATATTTTTGACTGTTGGAATCCAAAGCTTACTGTTGGAATGCTAAATTTTTAGGCTGGTAATCTCTTCATGGTGAGCTTATAGTACATTTCTCTTTATGTATTGTTGCCTATCAAACAAAGGGAATTGTGGAAATCAAAAGTTATTATAAGATTTCTAGCTTTTAGAAGTTTTGAACCAAACAAAAGATAATGAGGAAAACTACAAAAATACTTTTCCCATCTATGATTTCCTTGGGAACCAAAAAAAAAGAAAAGAAAAACATTAACGCCTCGTTTGGTACGCGGGAATGAACTCAAATGAGAATGGAATGGAAAAATGAATAAAATGGAATTAATGTGAGAATGAAATAGTTATGCTCATTCTCACGTTTGAGTGTAATTTATAAAATAAAGTAAGAATGAACGTATTTTAAAATTGTATATTTTCTTGATTCTCATTTAAGTGAGAATGCTCATTCTCTATCATTTCATTGGGAATGCTCATTCCCACATAAATTGGGAATTGATGAGAAATGAGAATGAACATTCCAACTTTAAAAAAAAGGGTATGTTTGATAGAAAGGAATGAGAAGTGAGAATGACCATTCCATTCCATCACATTCCCACATAAAGCCTAAACTCCCAAACACACCATAAAAGAAATATTAAGAAATACATTGAAATATATTTCTAGCGTTGAATTGCATTTCCGGCTGTTTGAGAAGTTGAACCAAACAGGCCCTCAGTTGGGTTTTAAAGATTAACCCAACGCACGTGAAAATTACTTTTTCTATCCTCTTTTATTACATTTTCCTACCTCGCTCCAATTATCCCTGGCAATTAATCTCCTCCTGCTCCTCCGCCGCCGAGTCCGCGTCCCTCTTCCCCGAAAACCATAGAAATGTCCTCTCCATCTTTGGAATTTCCTCTCGGTCTTTCTCTCGACGACCGCCGGCCACGTCCTCAGCTCTCTTTTCGTCGGCACATCATTGTTTCTTGGAATCACCGCGCCGATCCTCAACAAAACCCTAATAAGTTTCTTTGCTGAAGGATTCGGCATCGAGGAAGTTGGGGTCGTTTCTTGTGCCGTCGCAGTTTCAGGTGAGCTCAATTCCTTAAAAAGTTGAATTTTTTTTTATTTGTGAATTATATGTTTAGATCTTGTAATCTTATTTTCAAAGAAGTTCACTGCATTTGATTTTAAGTGAGAGGATTATGTTCTGCTACTAATTTCTGAGAGAAAAACATTTAATTTTAAATGGGTCCTAATCCTTAACATTGATGACAATACATAAATAAGGAGTTTTGGAAGGAAAATGATTTTAATTTTCCTTGGAAAATGAAGCTCGCATTTTGTTATGCTCTCCTGGTTGGGGTGACAAAATGGAACTTTGACGTTTAGAAAGGTAAACTAATTAATAGAAGTTTGAAGATATAACTTTCATCCAAAATTCCTTTTTTTAGAGTGAGTTATGTTAGGAATTTACTGCCGAAACCCCTAAGACAGCAGAAACGCGATATAGAGAAAAGTACACTAAGTTTAACGAGGTTCGGCAATTGCTTACGTCCTCGGGAGCCACACAGTAAATTTCTTATTAATCAAATAAGAAATTACAAACTTAGAGCAGATCTCAAACTGATATCTCTCAATAAACACTAATTTATCACTGTAGCTACAGCTACAGTAACAAATTCCCTCTCTTTTACAACCCCTCTTTAATATCTCCTTTATCAAATCCCCTTCTCAAATCAAACCCCCTTCTTCTCAAATCTCTGAGAACCGAAAAAGGCAGAGAGAGGGAGAGAGAGATGCCGCTGCCGCCGTTGGGAATCGCGTGGAGGAGAGGAGAGGAGGGGAGGGGAGCAGTCGTCGCCGCCGCCTGAGAAAACGCGAGGAGAGAGAGAAGAAGCAGACTATCTTCGGCTAGGGTTTCGTGTTCCCTTTTATAAGGGAACTCAACGACAGGCTGGCGACAGCCAAGCGAGAAGTCGCCAGCCACGAATCACTGGACCCCGAGCTCGCCTATTTCAATTTGAGCTCGCCTGACTCTGCGCTTTGGACATCGAGCTCGCCTGACGATCGCGAGCTCGCCTGCATCATTCCCCAAAGCTCGCCTGTGGAGGTGAGTTTGGTCTACACCCAAACTAATAATCTTCCACTTGGAGATCAAACCGCTGTCAGCAGGCTATCTCATCAAGCTCATACTCCTGTGTGCCTCTGCCCTCATCATCTATGCATGAAGGCCAACTGAACTTGTGCACAACTCCAGTTTCTGAACGGTCACCGTCTTTGTTAACATATCTGCTGGATTCTTACTTCCTGGAATCTTCTCCAGTTTTAACACATCATCTTCCAACAGGGATCTGATGAAGTGGTACCGAAGTGCAATATGCTTCGTTCTAGAATGAAATGCGGAATTCTTAGCCAAGTGAATCGCACTCTGACTATCGCTATGCAAGACATTCATCTCCTGATTGAATCCCAGCTCTGTTAACAAACCCTAAAGCCATATCATTTCTTTACTGGCTTCAGTCACTGCAACATACTGAGCTTCTGTAGTGGATAGAGTGACAATCTTCTGTATCTGTGACATCCAACTAACAGTTGTAGTTCTAACAGTGAATACATAGCCGGTGGTGCTTCTTCGGTGATCAACTTCACCTCCAAAGTCTGCATCTACGTACCCTTGCACTTCTACCTCTCCCTTACCAAAGTGCAAACACTTCTGTGTGGTGCCTCGTAGATATCTCAGAATCCACTTGACCGTTTCCCAATGAGCTTTTCCTGGATTCGACTAGACCATTGCGTACATCAAACTTCCGATGGCTGAGGCGTAAGGGACCTTAGCCATACTCTCTTTCTCTTCTTCTGACCGAGGAGGCTGATCCTTCGATAGATGAAAATGACTGGCCAATGATGTGCTCACTGGCTTGGCGTCGCCCATGTTAAATCTCTGCAAAACACGGTTGATGTACTCCGTCTGAGACAACTGCAAGAACCCTTTCTTCTTGTCTCTCGTGATTTGCATTCTAAGGATCTTCTTCGCTCGACCTAAGTCCTTCATGTCAAATTCCTTTGACAGCTGCTGCTTCAAACTCCTAATATCCTCCATATCTGCTCCTGCAAGCAACATATCATCAACATACAGCAGTAGGATGATATAACTGGACTGATATCTTTTGAAGTAGCAACAGTGGTTGGCGTTGCACTTCTGGAAACCTTCCTTGTGCATGAAGCCGTCGAACTTCTTATACCACTGTCTTGGGGCTTGTTTCAGGCCATACAAGCTCTTCTTGAGTCTGCATACCAGGTTCTTCTTTTCTTCTGAGAAACCTTCTGGCTGGTGCATGTATATCTCCTCTTCTAGATCTCCTTGAAGAAACGTCGTCTTCACGTCTAACTGTTCGAGATGAAGATCTTCAATTGCTATAATACTCATCACGGTCCTGATAGTATTTAGCTTCACCACGGGAGCGAAAATATCGGTGTAGTCAATTCCTTCATTCTGCTGGAATCCTTTGACAACTAGTCGGGCTTTATATCTTTTGGAACCATCCTGCTCCTCTTTCACCCGGTATACCCATTTGTTGTGGAGTGCCTTCTTACCCGTGAGCAACTCAGCTAGTTCCCACGTCTAGTTTGAGATGAGAGACTTCATCTCATCTTTCATAGCAAGCTCCCACTTGCTCGCATCTCCACACTGACAAGCTTCATCATAGCTTTCAGGCTCCCCTCCATCTGTCAACAACAGATAGTTCATGTATCTCCTGTTGGGCACAAGAGGTCGTGAAGATCTCCTCAAAATCGGAGCTGGTGTGTCGGGCTCTTGCGCACCATCTTGTCCAACATGCTCTTCTGACTGAGGACCTTCTGCATTGGGTTCTTCTGAGAGGTTACTCAGGACATCATCTGCATCTACAAATATTGACTCGCTCTCGGAGTCATCTATCTTGTGCATGTCCTTGTACATCACCTTCTCGTTGAATATCACATCTCTGCTCCTGATCACTTTCTTGTTTTCGTTGTCCTAAATACGGTAGTCGAACTCATCTTCACCATAGCCGATGAAAGTGCATTTCTTCGACTTGGGATCAAGCTTATTCCTGCCTTGATCACTAATATGCACGTAAGCTACACAACCGAAAACTTTAAGATGTGAGAGTTTTACCTCCTTCCCGCACCATACATTCTCTAGTATTCTGTGCTCCAATGGAACCGATGGACATCGGTTGATCAAGTAAGTTGCAGTATTGACCGCTTCTGCTCAGAACTTCTTCGGTAGGCCTGGCTGTACCCGAATGCTTCTGGCTCTCTCTATCAGCGTTCGGTTCATCCGTTCAGCTACACCATTTTGCTGAGGCGTACCGGGCACGGTTTTTTCCATTCTGATCCTGTGCTCATAGCATAACTTCTTGAATCTGGTGTCTTCATACTCACCGTCATTGTCGGTCCTGAGCTTCTTTATTCTCAGACCGGTCTCATTCTCGACCATAGCTTTCCATCTCCTGAAAGCTTCAAACACTTCTGACTTATGCTTCAGAAAGTAGACCCACACTTTCCGAGAGTGATCATCGATAAAAGTCACGAAGTAGTATTTTCCACCAATAGACGCGGTGGTTGTTGGTCCCCACACATCTGAGTGAACGAGCTCTAGCTTCTCTTTCCTGGGGGTTCTGCCACTTGTCTGAAAGCTAACTCGCTTCTGCTTTCTAAGTATGTATTTTTCACACATATCTAAATCAACTGATTCTAGACCTGGGAGTTTTCCCTTTGTGTGCATGATTTTCATCCCCTTCTCACTCATATGACCGAGTCTCTGGTGCCACAGCTTTGAAGTCTCATTGCCTGCTGCAACTGAGATTAAACAACGTGCACCTGCTGTCATATACATGGTACCAGTCTTCTTGCCTCGGGCAATCGTCATTGCGCCCTTTGAGATCTTCTAATCATCTCCATGGAAGGTCGTAGTGTATCCTTCACCAGCCAACTGGCCTACGGATATTAAGTTCTTTCTCAAGTCGGGAATATGCTTGACATCCTTCAGCTCCCATACTGACCCGTTCAACTTAATTTTTACCACACCTTTGCCCACAATAGCACGACATCCTTCAGCTCCCATACTGACCCGTTCAACTTAATTTTTACCACACCTTTGCCCACAATAGCACACGGTTGATCATCACCAAGATATACGTATCCAAGATTTTCGGGGGTATACTTCTTGAAGAATTCTTTCTGAGAAGTAGCATGGAACGACTCTCATGAATCTAACACCCAAGATTTCTCATTGCTCTCCAAAGAGCATATCAATGCATCGTCTCCTCCTGAGGTGGAAGTGACATTCACCTCTGCCTTCGCCTCCTTCTCCTTCTGTGCACTCTTGCCTCCTCCTGAGGTGGAAGTGACATTCACCTCTGCCTTCGCCTCCTTCTCCTTCTGTGCACTCTTGCACTGATTCTTGTAATGCCCGGTCTTTCCATAATTCCAACACTCGATAGCCTTCGAGCTGTTGTTTGGATTCCTTGACTTGGACCTCCTGTCCTTTGATCTTCCTCTGTAGTTTGATCTGCCTCGTACGTTCCCTCTGGTTGAATTTCTACCTCTTGACTCTGTATGCAATACTGAAGAGGTTGTAGCTTCACCCGACTCTCTCCGTCGGATCTCCTCACTGAGACCCAGATCACGAACATAGTCGAACTTCAACTTGGTGCTTCCCGACGAGATACTCACAACTATGACTGTAGCGTTCCAACTCTCTGGTAGGGAAGATAAAAGTATCAACGCCCGAACTTTCTCATCAAACTCAATTTCAACTGAACTCAATTGGGTTGTGACCGTGTTGAGTTCATTGAGGTGTTGTGCTACTGACGCGCCTTCCACCATTCTCAGATTGAATAACCGTCGTATCAAATGAACTTTGTTTGCGGCTGATGGCTTCTCATATATGTTTGAGAGTGCTGCCATAAGACCCGCCATGGTCTTCTCCTTCGCTATGTTGAACGCAACATTGCGAGTCAACGTCAATCTGATAACTCCGAGGGCTTGTCTATCTAAAAGGTTCCACTCATCTGCCTTCATAGAATCTGGCTTTTTCCCCGAT